CACCCCGCCCGGCGCCCCCCGCCCGGCGCCCCCCCCCCCGCCCCATCGCGCCTGGCCTGGAGATCGCCCAACTGCCGCCCCAGGTGCCCCAGAGAGCCCCCCTCCCCGCGGAGCGTTCGGCAGGGGCGGCACACCGCCGATGGCTGCTAGCCCGGCCAAGAGGGCGCAACAACATGCGGGGCGGGGGGCCTGGGGGGAGCCTCTCTCTGTGGCCGGCTCGGCGCGCGGCCCGCGCCCCGAAGCCGAGGCCAAGGCAAGCCGGGGGCGAGGGCGCACGGGCCGAGAGCGCTCGGCTCCCTTTGACAGGCAGCCGAGGCACCCCTTGGCCAGTGTTCGGCCCGGGGTGCCGGCGGCCCCTTTTCGGGGGTGGTTGCCCCCCTCCTCCCCTTGGGCTAGGGGCTGCGAGCGAAGGATGGCGCGGATGGCCGGGGCGTGCGGGGAAGGGGGGAGGACGCCCTGCGCGGCCGGGCCGGGCGCCGACGCACCGGAAGCCGGCCCGGCGCGTCTCTGGCACATTCGCGCCGGCCCGCGGGGGGGGGGGGGGGCGGCGCGATCGGCTTCGCTGGAACTCATCTGGCCCACGGGTGGGAGGGAGGAACGAGGGCCGCCGGCTGAAAAGGGCCCGCGAGGGCGTCCGCGCGCGCGCGCGCGCGCGCCACCCCGAGGCGCACCCACCCCCCGCCTCCCCAGACGGGGGTATGCCCGGGGCCGCGTGCTTCGGGCAGCCCCCGCCCGGCACCGGTTCTGCGGAATCGCCCCGCCAGGGTGGCCGGGTGTAGGGGCCCCCCCCCTCCCCCCCGTCCCTGCCCCCGGTTCCGCGCACGCGCCCGTGCGCGGGCCGGGCACACCAGGGCGGGGACCCTCGCCGGGTGGCGAATCGCGCCAGGAAGTGTCAACAGCCGGGGCCGATTGTCAGCTCTGGCACGCGAAGCCGGCGGGCGGCCCCATGCCACGAGGCGGGGCGGCTACTGAAGCCGGCGCCCCGGCTGCGCGGCCTTCAGTGGAAGAAGAAGAAGAAGAAGAAGTGCACGCATACCTTCTCTGGCCAATAAAATAATCCGATTTCTTGCCCCCAGCGCCTCCAGCGCAGGGCCGGCGCCTTTCAGACGACCGGACCGGCGTTTCCCCGCGCCCGTATGCGCGGGTTTCCGCGAACCCCCCCCCCCCCCTGCGCGCCGGGCCCGCCCGCATATCTCCGGCCGCATGCCGGGCCGGATGTTGTTCCCCCGGGGAGGAGGCTGGGGCCCGCGCCCGGTCCGCCGGCGGACCGGGCGCGGGCCCCAGCAAGCGGGGCCGCCTCCGGCCCGGGGCGCGGCCGTCCCAATCGTGGGTGAAAATGCCGTTCACGCGGGGTGCCGAATGGGGGCGCCCCGGCGACCCGTCCCCCGCCCCGAGACCCCGCGTGCGCGCGCGCACCACCAGCGGAGGCGCCTGAGCGGCCGGGCAGCCGCCGCGACCTGTGCCCATCGTCTGCCGGCTTTCTCAGGCGCGCATTGTGAGCCAAAACCGTCGCTGCCTCAGGATGGTCTCATGGGCCATCGCGCGCGCATCCCCCCCCCCCCCGGGCACCAGTGGGGGCGGGGGGGAGGCCGGCCGCCGGCTGCCCATCTTTGCACGCCCATTCTGCCCATTCAGCCTTTTTTCCCCCCTGTTTCCTCCCCCTGCGGCCCCCCCCCCACCCCCCCCTGCCGCGCTCCGCTCCCATGGATCGGGGGAGCCGGGAGGCGGGCGGAGATCGCCGGGCGTCGGGGGATGGCCACCGCCCTGGCACCACAAGGCCAGGCTGCCCACGGCGCGAGAGCGGCACATTAATTCGTAAGCAAACGGCCGTTCCCTCGCGGCTGCCCTGCCCCGGGGCGGGTCTTCGTCCGGCGGAGACCCCCTCGCCCCTGCTGCTCGGCGTGCAGCCGACGGAAGGACCGCGAAGCGAGAGAGACCCCCCCCCCCTCCCCCTCCCCAGGGGAAGGCGAGCAGCGGTCTCCCTCCCTTGGGTGGGGGCTCGCCAGGCGGGTCATTTTGGGCGTCGGCCCCCGCCAAGGCGCGCGGGCCCGCACCGGCGAGCCTGCCGCTGGGCCCGGGCCGTGCTGCGGGACAGCGCGCCCGCATAGGCGTCGTCCCCCGCCCCCGCCCCCCTCCCCCCCCAGAGCCCGTCCAGCGCCCCTGCTCTCGGGCCCGAAGAGCTGGCCCGCAACGTGCGCGCGTACTTATGCGCGCTTGCGCGTGCTCTGCTCCGGTGGACATGTTCGCCCACGCGCCCCACGGCTGGCCTTGAAGAAGGGCCTACGAGGGCGCGCCGGCGGGCGGCGGTGGTCGAGGCGGTTGCTCGGCCGGTGAGCGATCGCCCTCGGCCCCCGGATGCACAACGGGGCTCGGCCGTCCGGACCCCAACGTGTCCCCGGGCACATGGGGCAGCGTGAAATGCGCCCCCCTTTGTTGTTCCTTCGGCCCGGCCTGCCCCCGCTCCCGGCGCCGTGACCCTTGCCACTGAGACGCCTCGCAAGGCGCCAACACGCCCGGGGGGGGGGGGGGGCGCTGCCGGAGCCCCGGGGAGAGATGCCCGCGCCATCTCCCGGGCGCGCGCGCGCGCGCGCTCGCGCATGCAGCGTGTGTGCGTGCGCCTGTGTGCTGCATATATCCCCGAGCGCAGACATCCACGCCGGCACGCCCGCCCGCGCCCATTTTGTCGGTCGGCTGCTGCTGCTGCGGCGCGGCGGCCGGACGGGCCCCGGGGCTACCCCCGCCCGGCAGCGCGCGCTCTCCCCTCCTGCCCCGCGCACAGAGCCCATGCGCGCGCCGGCCCGCTTCAGCACCCGCCAGTGGCGGGAGCCGGTTCAGGCGCCGGGACGGTGACCCCCCCCCCAGTCCGGCGGGCCTTCGTCCGGGCAGGGGACCGCGCCCGAGGCGCGCGGGCATTTTTGTTGCCGCTCTGTGCGCCCCCAAGCCCCGACCCAGGCCAGAGACAACATTCCTCGTATCCCTCCTGTATCCTCCTCCCCTTCTTCCCCTTGCCCCCCCCCCTCCCTCGCTTCCTCCTTGCCCTTCTCTCTCTCTCTCCCCCCCTCTCTCAGCCGCCCACCCATCACCTACTCGTCTGCTGTTCCCCTGGTGTCCCCCTGTCCGCCGTAGCACTTTCCTCCCTGTGTACGTGTCCGTCCTCTCTCCCTTGTTGCCCAGTCCCCCTTCTCCACTCCACCTGCTGACGCGTCCCCCGCCCCGCCCCGCCCCGCCCCCCCCCCCCCCCCCCCCCCCCCGCCCCCCCCCCGTTTCTCTCGCCCCTCCTATTCCCCTCTTCGCCCCCCCCCCGCCCCCCGTCAGATAGAAAGATGGGTTGTTTCCAAAGCAAGCCCGCCGCCGCTGCCGGGGCAGCTGAGACCTGCGCCCCCAACCCCACCAGCCCCACCTACGCCAATGCCACGGTCGGTGGCTCGCTCGGGGCTCCGGGCGCTCTGAGCGCCACGTCCGCCTCCGCCGACGATGGCCACGGCGAGACCATCAAGATTTTGCTGCTCGGTGCGTGGCCTCTACCCCCCACCGCCGTCTCTGTCTGTCTGTCTCTCTCTCTCTCTCTGCCGGAAGCGACGCCACGCCGCCGGGACACCCAGGCACTGTGCCCCGCCCTGCCATCGGCTGACCATCCCCCCCCCCCCCCCCCCCCATCCCCCGATCCGCACCCAGGCCCCGGCGAGTCCGGCAAGTCCACCCTCCTGCGCCAGATCGAGATCATGCACGATATCCCCACCAGCGATCTGAAGCTCTACCGCACCTGCCTCAAGCGCAACTGCGCCCAGTCCATGCAGGTCCTCGTGGAGCAGGCCACCCTTTGGGGCTATGACTTCGGCGAGGATGAGGTACGCGACCCGCCATGGCCGCCGCCGCGGCCCACCGGCCTGCTTCCCTCTGCTCTTGCTCCTCGTCTTCCCTCGCTCTTTCTGCTTCCTTTGCCCCCCCCCCCCCCCCGGGAGCACACATCCCCATCGTCGGGGCCCCCATATGCCCGTGTCTGACGCGCCTTTCCATCCTGCCCTGCCCGCGCCGGGCCCTCCCGCAGAAGCACGCCGAGATTGTGGCCAACTTTGACCTTTCCAATGAGACTGCCTTCGACCGGACAATGGTCACGGCTATCCAGTCCCTGTGGGACAACCCGGCCATCAAGAAGGCCTTCGCCCGGCGCTCGGAGTTCTGGCTGCTCGAGGCGGCTCCTTAGTGCGTGGTCCCCCCCCCCCCCCCCCCCCCCCCTGCCTGCTTGCTGCCCATCCTCCTTGCGGTTGCCCTGCCGTGGCTTGCCCTCCATCCCCTGGCGATGGCTCTCTCTTGCTGACATGCGCACTCGCGCACCGGTCATTGCCACGTCTCCCGTGCTTTCTTCCCCTCTCTCCCCCGCCCCTCCTGCCAGCTACTTCTCCATCGCCGAGAACCTCATCTCGCCGGGCTACAAGCCCACCGAGATGGACATCATCATGACGCGTGTCGTCACCACCGGCATCACCACCCGCCTGCTGGACACCAAGCACGACCACAACAAGTACATCCTTGTTGATGTGGGCGGCCAGCGCAATGAGCGCCGCAAGTGGGCCAAGTCCTTCGAAGGCGTGCGCGCCATCATTTTCGTCATCAACATGGCCGAGTGCGTACCCCCCCACCTCAGTCCATTGCAACATGTCCATGCGCACGCACACGCGCACACACACGCACACGCACACACACACGCGCGCGCGCGCGCACACACACACACTCATATGCGCACACATGCCTAACGCCCCCGCTTCTCACTCTCTCCCTCCCAGTTACACCAACATTCTTTACGAGGATGCCACGGTCAACCGCATGGTCGAGGCCCTGAAGCTCTTTTCTACCACCGTCAACACCCCCATGTTCGAGGACACCCCGTTCTATGTGGTGCTCAACAAGCGCGATCTGCTGGAGACCTCGCTCGGGGAGCGGCCACTCAGCGTCTGCGAGTCCTTCGCGGACTACGTGTCCCCCTTCGCCCCGGCCGAAGGCTACCCCTCCATGTCCGGGGAGGACATCGATATCGACCGCGAGCCGCGCATGGCCTCCCCGCAGGAGGTTGACCATGCTGTGGAGTACATCAAGGGGAAGGTTTTGTCCCTGGTGCACAGCGGGCCCCTCGAGCGGGTGGAGGTCTTCGCCCTGTCGTCAATGCGCCGTGCCGAGGTCCAGCCCTTCTGGAATGAGCTGACCGACACCCTGCCGTCGCGTCTTCAGCTAAACTAGAGCCCCACCCGTGTCCCAAGAAAGGCCCGTGTGCGAGAGAGGTGCCGCGCGCCGTGCCGCAGCAAATACATACATATGCATATACACATGCATGCGCGCGTGCGCGCGGCGTTGCATCTCCATATGGTATCATGTATGCATGGGCGTGTCGGTAAATGCCGATATACTCATAGCCGCACACCGGCAGCAGGGGGGCGGGGCGCCAATCCACGCATACGCACATACATGCACAGACACACACACACACACACACACGCATGCATGCCTGGTCTCGGCACAGACAGGACGCAGCACTTTTTCACCCCCTGCTCCCACACATGCGCGTCCGTGTCTTTCTCTCTCTCTCTCCCTGTCTGCCTGTCTGCCTGTCTGCCTGTCTGTATGTGTGTGTGTTGGCGTGCGCACCGAAAAAATAATAACAATAAACCAGAAACATATTCACTCTGCCGCATGCGCGCACCCCCTGCCTTCCTCTTTTTCTCTCTTTCTCCCTCCCTGACCACCCCCTCTCGGGTTCTCCTTCCTACCGCTTGTCGAAATGCCCGCGAGGAAAGATGGGCTGGCGCGCGTGCGAGGCGGCTTGCTTGTCTGTGTCAACGCACGCATCTTCCCCCTCCGGGTTTGGGGAGGGACGAGATCCCGGCCGGAGTGCCCTGAGTGTTTTTTTTGTCCCCCCCCTCCACCTCCCCTAAAGGAGGACGACGGAGCGAGACCCTGTCCGTCTGTGGGAGCGCCTTGCGCCCAACCGCACCGCGCACCGCGCACCATCCCCCAGCTTCGACTAGGGCCCCTTTGTGCGGGGGGGGGGGGGGGGACGGCACATTGCGGTTGCCCCCGCCCCTCGGGGGCGTGCCCTGCGAAACGAAGGAACCCCGACGGCGGCCTGTGCCATCAGCACGCCGCGCTCATAGTGGAGATCGGCCGCTGGCAGTACGCACGGCCACGCACTCGTGGAGCACGTCCACCTCCATCGTCGGCACCCGCGACTGGCCTCCTGGTGCCAACCCATCGGGCCGATGAGATGTCACCCCAGGACAGTCCCCTCGGCGCATTCGCACACCCATCCTGACACACACGCACGCACAC